TCTGGGAGAGCTCGGGCCCATTCTCTGGATGCCGGTGATCGACAACATGGAGAACTATCTGGTATTTATATGGATTCCATTCAACTTGCATACACTAATAAAATCGCAGGCCGATTTACAGATACTCATCGACAATCTGCTCGATGCTTTTGCGACCTTGGACCCCACTAAAATCCTAATCAAGCTGAAACTACATGTTCTACTCCACATTATTGACGACATACGGCGTCGCGGGCCCGCCGTCCGCTTTTCCACAGAAGTATTTGAATGCTTCAACGCCATCTTTCGGCTGTGCTCGGTTCTCAGCAATCATCAAGCTCCGAGTCGCGATATAGCTGCCAAGCTTGCAGACTTGGACCGTGTCAAGCATATTTTAAGTGGCGGGTACTGGCTCGAGGATGAGGCCTGGATCCGCGCAGGAAAGGATGTCCACCGCATTCTCCGTGACACCCCAATTATCCAGAGACACCTCGGATGGGCGCCACCACCCGTTTGGACTCCTGGTAATGTTCGGGCAGTTGCACAGAAGAGGCAACAAAAGGAGGCGGCCCTTTCACCGGAGCAGACATTAATTGTCGGAGCCGCCAACCTCTGCGGAGTAACCATCGACCCCAGGGCATCGTGGACGAATGGCCAAAGTGTAACCGCTCGGTCGGGTGATTCTTGTAAGGCCGACTCATGGGCAATATTTCGCTTGAACAATGTAAGCCTCAAGTGACTCAAGCGGAGTGTTATTAACAGAGCTTAGGAACCCCTGGTCGGTCGTGTGCTTCGGATCCTTCTCCCAAAAGGCGGAAAGTCAGGCCAAGGGCTCCTCGTGGTAGCCAAATATAATGTCGGAGAAGCGCTGCATTCACAGCTGCATATGCCATTGCTACTTGCCGATACAGAGACCGCTCGAGTCGTAGTGCCTTCAGATGTGAGATTAATTCAGATTGTCGCACCCAAACTTGCTTTCTAAACTCACTTTACAGTCAATACAGTTCTCATTCAACGCCCAGCATGACTGTCGTGCTTGCGGGTGTGATGCGAGCGGTGTTACCCGGCAAATGCAGGAACGACAGGAATCAGACAAACTGATTCATTCCATTGTTCACAAGGACGAGGACCGCTTCATTATCAATACCCATGGGTTCCACAATGCAACCCTCCTACGAAAATACCTTCCGGTGGCTCTCACTAAGCCCCGCGTGTTGTTCCCAGATCGAAGAAAACGACACGATGATCTCTCCGGACCGCTGGCAGCTGCACAGAAGGAGAAGCGCGCGGCAACACAGGAAAAGGCCGCAGCCACAAGACAGAGGAACAAAGCGGCGAGAACAGGAGCATCCGAGGCTCAAGTGGCGGCTAACAACAATGGCTTAAGTGCGGGGGGTAACACGGACAGTGCAGAGCATAACACAGGCGCGAATAAGCGGCCGAGGCATTCCATTGAGTAGGTAGCACATATAGATTACTTGGCAATAGCATCCCCGTCTCCTGCTATTGCCGATGACCCACGCGCAAAGTCCCTTCGGAGTTTCCGAATCCATGCCGCCGTTCGGAGGATGCGCACGCGCGCCGCCGCCGCGACATCGGCCTGGACCTGCCGCTGTTCATAGGTCCGTAAGTGGGTTCCAGGGTAGTGCACAGGCCCAAAAACATCCTTTGAGCACGTTAGCGAAACGAAAAATGGGGCCAAAGGATTGACTAACAAAAGTAGTCATGCTGATATCTGTGCTGGTATTGCCGGCAGCTGAGACCAAGAGCAAAGGCTCCATTGGTTCGTCGTCCTCATCCAAGGAGTCCCCGGTGGATGATGAGGCGAGCCCGTAGTAGTGGTAAACAGGCTGAGACCGGGGGCTACTGGATTTATCGATCGAGTCGGATGGGCTGCCCGAAATGCTTTTGGCGGGGCCTGGAGCACGAGGAGGGCTGGGAGCCGGCTTCTGAAGAGCAGCCGCCAGTATCATTGATGCGTGAGAAGACGGGCACGGCGAGCTCATGACGGCGTGCTGGGCGTTGGTTGGTGAGAAGACAGTGTTGCTCGACGGCGGAGAACATCCGGACTGGTGAGGGGCTTGGAGAGAGGTGCAGGAGATGTGAGGGGCATGTTTGAGGCAATGTCAGTGGGTTGTAGTCCAGGATATTGGCCAGAGAGTGGGCCGACGTGAGGAGAAGAAATAAGTCAAGTCTGCCAGTGACGTGTGACGGAAACGTTGTGGCAACATTTGGCCAACGTCGCCGGCAGATCGAGCCTCCCGACATTCCTCCAAGCTCACACAAATATCGGGGAAACGGTTTGGTTGGATCTATTCTACACAGTCTGTGTCTATATCAAAACGACAAATCGGCTGGTTGGTGGTGTATATGACGTCGCTCTGGCCACTTGTTCGCGAATCCTCCAATTCTGCGCGTCTATTGACGGATGCACTGATGCCAATTATAACCGGTGCCAGGTACAGGCCTAGGCTATCCCCCAAACCGCGATAATGACAAGCAAATGACAAGGCGCAGCAGGATCACCTGCTGAACCTTGGACGAAATCGTGAAGAACGAAAAGGGAGGAGAAAGAAGCCGACGGTCTGAGTTGCCAATTTTCGTGCAGCCTCAGCGTAGGAGGGCAAACTTGAACGTGTCCAACCACCGATCCCAGGGACGCCGAGACGCCGAATAATGCGCGGTATACACGCGCTGTAAGTATATTTGGACCACAGTGCACACTCCTTTCATGCTCGGGTTGCTTAAAGTTATTGGGTGAATTGAATACTGGCTAACAGCGCTGAAGCGCTGAAGGGGTGAGCGCAAGCCGGATTGGTCAGCAAGTCGTGTTTGCGGATGCTTGGCATTGCCTTCCAGTCGCGCTTCACTCAATGCAATTATGACCTCCTCAGCCTCTCTCCGAGGCCTCTACAGCGACCCCTCATCTGCCTGGTCCTTTGTCCAGTCTCTTCCCGCCGCAGCGGCCAACTCCACCCCCACCGCGCAGTCTCCTTCTGCACTGCCATTCCAATGGTCCTCGCGGCCGTCCCACAACTCCATATTCGACCTCTCACCGGAGCTCGCAGACCCATCAGATGGAATAGACCCCATAAATCTCCTCAAAACCTTGGCTGCATCTGCAATCCTGCAATATACCAGCAGTGCTATTGCAATGCCATGGGAGGTTGGGAAATTGCTCCTTCAGGTTCAATGGGTTCCGCGGGATGCTGGTGATCCCGAGCCCTCGGAGATCCCAGACGACGACGACGACGCTGTCTGTGTTTTCAACCCCCTTTGATGTTTCCGTCGCTCATTCCTTCGCTCCGTAGTTGAGCGACTCGTCAAATGACAACGACTCGTACTTTGCCGATCCAAATGCCACCCCGCATGCCGGCTTTTCTGCCTTGCGGCAGACGGATGAGCAAGGCTACGTTGTCCGCCGCTCTGTACTCGAGGAGGGCACCCGCCCAGAATATATCATTCCGGTGGGTAGTGCCAACGGCGTCTGGGGCATGATGAGACGGGTAGGACGTTTCCGGGGCGAAGGGTGGCTGGCACTGTGGAAAGGTAACATGAATGTCCTGGTTCTTTGCATTTCACCCAACTTTGGCAGGACTGTTAACGTCTTGCATAACCGAGGTCCTGTCATCGACCTTTCAACCCATGATTCGCGGTCTCCTTCAAGCTCTCTTTCTCCCAACGGGCGTCATATTCAGTCGGCCCCCAATGTTCCTCCCCGTCCTCTCCCATCTCATCATGGGCTTCATCCTCTCCCCACTAGACCTAGTGCGGACCCGCCTAATCGTCCAATCCTTCTCGTCGCGCCACTGCACCTACACGGGTCCTTTCGATGCCCTCTCCCGCATCCTCCGCGAGGAGGGTGGACTGAAAGGCATCTACCTCCACCCCCACCTTCTCATCCCCACCCTCATCGATAGCGCGCTCCCCCCAATCGTCTCCTTCGTCCTCCCCGGCATGCTCGCATCATACTTCGGTGCCCAGATAACGGAGGACGCGAACCCCATCGCATGGGGCTTCGCCGAGCTCGCGGGCAGCTGCCTCGGCCTCATCATCACCCTCCCCTTCGAGACCGTCCGACGGCGGCTCCAGGTGCAGGTGCGGGGTACCGCGAAGCCGATCAAGGGGTGCGTCGAGCTGCGCCCCGCGCCGTACAACGGCATCGTGGACACTTTCTGGCACATCCTGACCGAAGAGCGCTCGGACCTTCCCATTTCGACGCAGAAGCGCAAGCGGCGGATGAGCAAGGGGAAGGAGCGCGCCGGCGCCGAGGAGAAGCCGGCGCAGGATGGCGAGGAGCAGAGCTGGATGAGGAGCACTGGGATCGGGCAGTTGTACCGGGGGCTGGGAATGCGGCTCGGGGCCAGCATTATCATGTTCGGCCTGGCGCTGTTCAGCGGAGGGGACGAGGTGGACGGAGGATGGGCAGAGTTGTAACATCTCTTTGACAAATAATGAAATAAACTCCTTCTCATCACATTCCGTCTATAGAGTTGGCCTTGAGCGGTCAAAGAGGCATGTCACCTCCACAGCTATGCAAGCAGCTATTGTAAAATTTGGTCACTGGTGACTGACGTAGTTCTAGCTCACAACTTTGAGAAGTCGCGAAGCTTTGATCGCCCATGTGGCTGTGCTCGCCTATCACAGAAAGCATCTTGAGACTTCCTCGATTCCTTGAAAACCCTTCAGAGTTCAGACTAAACCTGCCACATACAGATTTACTACTCAGCATGTGCTTCTCAATTAAATTCCTAAATCTTGGCCTGTGCAGGATTTAAATGCTGGCAAATAAAGATTCCAAGTCAGAGTCGAGGCTGTCCCTCATGCTAAATTGAAGAGGCGCCGGCCCGTCAGGTTCCAGCGGCTTCAGCCTTGTATTTCATCCAGCGCAAAATCACCAACGCAGTATCAGAGCATTAATCTGCTATTCTGTGAAGAGCCAATGAAGAGCTGGCTCGTGGGAATTTGGCATTTCGAACGTCATCCACATTTACACTCCTTGGCGCAAGCTCGCTTTCGACGGTTGTGTAGTGTAGCGGTTATCACTCGAGATTTTGAAGACATTGATTTCTCGTAACCCCGGTTCGAACCCGGGCACGACCTTTACATTTTGGGGTGTTTGGTTTATTTTTCTTCCTATTCCTCTTTTAAGACCCCGACCTTCATTTATATGAGTATGTACAAACGCATACCCCGATTGTCCCGTTCTTTAATGTCTCATGTTTACTATGCGTTCACTCGTCATCTAAATAATTCTGTATCCAAGTGCCTGGCTAAATCACTGGGAATCCTAACAATATATTACCCGCGCCTGGGGGCTCTCATCTACGGAAGTATGCATTGACTCGGATCGTCGTGAAGAGGGCCGATGACGATAACAAGATAAAGGTCCCAAGGCATAAGTATTGGCTTTTGACGAAAGTAGATCCGATGGATTTTCCAGAGTCTTCTGAATCACCTTAAGAATATCCGTATCGAGTGTTCGTGTTCATGGACCATATTCGTCTTTACACAGCGAACGGTGTCAACATCTAGGAAGCCATGCATTTTTCTACCTACCATGGATAGTTGCAGTAGCCCTGTGTGTTCGCTCTGTGTTCTTGATTAATTTTGCTCTTCAGAGTCATTTCTTCCCTTTGTCTGATCGTTGTGCCACGAGACATCGCCAAGGGCGCTGTAGACGCTGGCCCAGAATTACCATTTTGGGTTGCGATGCACGTGCAGGCGTAGTGGGACAGGCTTAGGAAAGCGAATAATCGCTTCAAGGTCCAGGCCCGCGAGTCAGAAAAGTGGAAACAATCGAGGTGATTGCCGTGCTTATCATTGTCGCCTCTTTCAGCTGTTTGCCTTGAGTCTGGACGTTAAGCTCGTCACTTCTCGAAACATTAATATTGTGTTTGAGCTTGCAGAGAGATGGTTCCCAAATGTTAACGTTATCTTCAAGGTTCCGGCGAACTACGGCTAGCGCAGTGTCGTGTGCAAGTCGCGTGACAAACTTCACAAGCTGGAAAGCGAAAGACTTGGAAAATTCAAAGCATGCGGATGGTAAGCCACCGTTTGCTATCCCGGCTTTCCGGCCTCCCCGAAACTATTACTTGACAGACTCGGCGTTTGTCAGAATGGGCATTCCAGGTAAGAAGCTGCGGCACGTGCCGAGACCTTATGGGGAATTGAAATCGTTTGGGGTCGTGGTTGCGCGATTTTGACTGTTTCTGCACTCCTCCATGGCCGGTATGTTCGAGCCCGCGACGCGTTGCCCTTTGCTGACTTGCCCCAGAAAAACCCATATCCATCGTGCCTCTGCTCTCTCGAGCTCTTCACAGAATACGCACCACACCTCCTCGTATAATTGCATCGCCTCCCACTCGTGCGCTCTTCGCTTTAGCTTCTCTGCTTGATTTTAACCACCTGTTTTAGAACCCCGGAGAGCCGCTGTAGCGCTCATTATCCGTGTCGTTCCATCCCCGAACGCGGCCTTGCCGCCACCGCCTGCCAACCCTGTCACACTCTCCGACTTTTTCGAGCTCGACTGGGTCAATGATCCCGCGGCACGCCCCGAGATCCTCTTCTTGCAGCGCGAAAATCCTGCCCCAGAAGATTCTGGTATGAGTAGGATGCGCAATACGCACGAGGCGCATGTCGCGTTCCCCGGCGGGAGGACCGAAGCGGACGATGAAGGCGGCCTCTATACCGGTACGTCAGATGCTACTCCTTCCCCAGCCACTTTTCTTACAAGGGCGCATGCAAGCCATGCGGCAGACGTGGGAAGAAATAGGCATCGACCTCGCTGAGCGGGATTACACCTGCATTGGACAGCTGGACGACAGAGAGATAACAACTTCGTTGGGAAAACGCCTTCTCATGATCCTCTCGCCCTTCGTTTTTCTTCAATTAACGCCCCAGGCACCACCCCCTGACCCCACGCCATCGACGACCCTGCATTGGACGTCCCTCGCCTCGCTCGTCTCCGCACACGCTCCTCCTAGATGGTCCACCGTCACTGTCGATGCCGCCTCCCGTCTTGCTCCCAAGCATTCCACTGCACTCCGCCTCCTCGTTCAAGTCCTCGTTGGCAGCATGGAATTTCCCGCGATCATCGTGCAGCCTTCCTCGCTGCCGTCAGTAACCCCCGACGGCAAACTAAACATCACCCACGATATCCTTGAGAAAGGCTTCGTCTCACCATCCAGCCGACCTCAGAAACTGAAACTCTGGGGTTTGTCCTTGGGTATGACCCTCGACCTCATGTCTTACATGGTCCTGCCGGCACCGTCCTCGACGCGCGATAACTCCGAGGCGCATAGAGCCAATTCTGAGACGTCGTCTCCACTATCACCTATGATGCAGCTCCCGTATCAGACTGGCGCAGAGGGGATGCGCATGGACGTCGTTGCCCCTAGTTTGGCAAGCGTGTTTCCGAGATTCTCTTACCCTGACGTCAATTTCTGGATATGGTGCGTCTATAAATACCAAGAAAATCGCGCGAGACGATTGCTTACTGTGTACAGGGTGTTCGGCAAACGGTATAGAGAGGTTGTGCGTGGATGGGAGGCCAGTGTGAGAGGTGGAGGCACGAATGACCGGCGGTACGTTCCAGCTTGCTGCAAGCTGACATGCGCATGCTTACGACTGATCAGGATAAATTGGTCGGGCTCCGCGCTGAGCACATTCTATGCCGCCATTCGCAAGGCTCTTGTGGTCGTCATAGTCGCTCGTGCGCTGGGTGTGCTCTTTGGAGTAGCATTCGCCACCTGGTGGATATTTGGACAGTAGTAGATGATAGAACTTTTTATACGCGTTTTAATCGTGGTTTGGATCTGGTTCTTTTGTAACATGTATGTGGATGACTGAGTTGATACAACATTGTTCTATTGGTAACTTCTACAATGGTAAGCCGCAAACCTCGCAGTCTGTGCCGCCGTGCGCATTCTCGAATGTGCAATGGGGGCAGATCCTGATACCGGTGCTTGATCCTCCACCGTCTCCACCTCCTCGTGCAGCAGCTTCCTCGGCTGCGATCTGGTCGAAGACTTCCTGTGGTATGTCTTCATCTCTGGATGATACCGTAGGGCCCGCTGTCGAGCATTAGACGAATTATGGGTAAGGGATGGGGGGAAGACGTACATGCGCTCTCTCGCGTAAATGTCATCAGTGTGTTCCAGCCTTCTGTGGCCAGCAGCGGATCCAGTTGACTGAGATCTTCCAGCAGAGTAGGTGATGTTACGATACGCATCATCAGCTTCACATCCTCCTGAAAGAGATATGAGATTAATTTACATTGGATGGACGACGAGATCAACGCACGGGAGAAAATAGTTGTGTTGTGTCCAGGAAAGCGACAAGATGCCAATCGCTAAGCCACGCGGCCAGCTCTCTCCTCTTGTGAGCCTCCCCGGGTTTGGCAATGCGACTGTCCACGATATTGTGGGCATCCAGTCTGGCAAGGGCGCTGATAACGTTTTCCACGCGTTGGTCCTCCAATCCGGGTCGATTCTCAATGGCAAACTTCGAAGACTGGAATAGAGGTGACGGATTTTGCGGGAAGCCGTGAGTTACCTACAGGGAACGCATTAGTGTTTATTCCTCCGCGCAGTGAAATTGAAACTGACGTTAACCATGAGATATTCAACGGGGAAGGCAGGCTTTGCGGTCTTCTTGACTTCGAGCCCGTACTCATTCTTGAACGAGAAAAATACATCAGGCACATATCTTGCCGACCCTTGGGTTCGATCCTCCTCCTTCACGCGAACAATTCCAGGGTCAACACTAGCCTCGATCATATCGGCGTCGACCATGGCACAGGCTTGCTCAGAAACTTGGTACGCAGCAATGTCTACCTGCCCATCCTCCGTGGCAGTGAGGATAGCGGTGACTAGCCGTGAAGCAAAGTGGCCGGTAGGTGAAGACTTTGAAGGGGTTGGGTTTGATTTTTGCATCGTAGCGGCAAATATTGCCTCCAGCGACGACATGTAAAAAGAACCGGGATGACGCTTGTAAACATTTTTTGTCCGATCCTCGATCGTTGGGGTTAAATCGGTGAAGATGTACCCGACGATAGTCAACGGGGTCGAGGCCGAGGCAGACAGTTCCCTGATGCGGGGTTCCTCTTCCCAAGGTAAACCCAAGGTAAGGCCATCGAGTTCGCCCTCTTGTGGAGGTTCGTATATGGTTTCAACCACAGCCTTAACTCCCATTGGCACCTTGTCGTACGGCTGATACCGTCCAATCAACCAGCCAAAACGTTGGAAACCAGTCGACCTCCATGCATGCAGGAAGCGGTCGATCACGTCGGTCGAGGCAATCTCGAGATGGTCAACCATTCGGAAAGGTTGCGATTGCAGGGTGATAGCGGAGGGTTGGCAGGATGTGCATATGCCGGCAGGCCATGATGGATGGCCACTGGGACACGGTACCTTCACCTTGTAGGACAGCGGTGTGAGCGGGGGGAGAGATGAAGTGGCGGATGAAGACGATTTGGGGCTGATTTGCTTGAGATATGCGTGATAGGATAGATGCTTGATAGCATTTTCCTTGTGGTAAAGAGCATTGTAAGGTTCAAGAGGCATGCAATAATCGCACATTCCGTTTGTGGCGTGAGTGCAGAACCGGGCGTCGCGACTGCGAGGGATTTTCCCGTCTTTTGATCGCCAAAATACGTCCACGGGATCCTCTTTGACGGTTTCCCATATGCGGGGGGTGGTTTCGGGGACGGCAGCGCTGGGCGGAGGAGAAGAACTCGATGAGGAAGCGGCCTTTGATTGGTAGTTAACAAAGACCAAGTCAGCGTGGCTTTGCAAAACATTAGACACGCGCGACTATGCCAGTCAATAGAAACATACTTGAGACCCAGACTCTGAAGGGATCGTCCCTTCAAGCTTGAAAATTGCGCTTCATTTCCTCGGGGCTGATTGGATATGGTGAGAGTCGATGGATCTGCATCTGGGGCTGTTTCGAGGATCTAGAAGAATCATCAGTCTTGGGCTTGTTTCTTCCACTGGACGAACCTTGGCCAGTAATTCTGAAATATCGGCGGTTGGCGCGAACTCAAAACGAAAGTTTCCGTCCTTGGATCTAACTCGGAGAAGCTTATAAGGTCCTCAGTC